CCTGGCCTGCTGGGTAGCCAGCTAGATTCTGAGCAGGGAAGGCTGGGCACACACACCCCCTCCAGCTTCTAGCGTCCAGTCAGTGTGTCGTTCTCTCCTGGGACCTAGAAGACCCTCCCTGCCTGCTACTAACAAGGTCCCCATAAAGAGTCTTAACCAAGCCCCCTACGTTTATTTTTTCCCTTCTGAGCCCTGTGCAGTGAGAGTGTCCATCTGTGCCCCTGGCCTGAAGTAGAATTGAGTTTCTTCCCCTCACCCCCCCCCCCTTCAAAATGTCTGCGCTGGCTCCTGATACCAGTGCACATATTCCGTGGTCTGGACGGCCTCCCAGGTCCCTCCCAGGTGGTGGTGGTGAGGAATGAGGTTGGTGGCAGGTGGGAGGGGAGGGAGGGAGGCGTGCATTTCAGCCGCCACCGATGCCGAGTGTGGGTGCATGGCAGCAGGGTTCTTCCTTCACTTTGTGATGGGCTTTAATGAAACTCCCAGCCACACAGCTGAGTCATTTCAGTGTAAATAGTCCTCACGAGAACTCCAAGTGTTTCTAATATGACCTAATACTTGACTAATTAATGCTGCCTCCTGGCTGCAAAATTTAACCTTGAAGGTATTGTTATATTTAGACTCTAATTCTCTATGAATGATGTTGTGGCATTTGGGAATCTACTCCTTTTGGGGGATAACACTCCACTTCTTTTTGTTTTACGTGATTTATTTTTTTAACTGTCAGAGGTTCACTTCCTCCTGGAGTTGAGGAGAAGGGGAGGCTCAAGCAATGTTCTCTCTGCCTCTTTAAACAGGCATTAAAAAGCTGTCTCTGTTTGATGTTTATAGGTAATTATGTCAGGGATGCAGAATCCAAAATCAAATCCAGCTTTGTGTTCCATGGCCTTTATGACAGCTGTTGTAGCAGCCAGTGAGGGCAGCATGGTACTGCTAGAAAAATAAAAAAGAGCTACTGTGACTCATAATTCCAAAAGGTCCTGTTTTCAGAACTTGATTCTCCCCTAGCGCGCCTCACTCGGACTTCTTAGCCACCACTTGTGTGTATGTACAGGGTGCAATCGGTCTGGGACAGGTGTCCTGAATGTCCCTGACTCACTCCTTCCTCTTCCTTCTTCCCTGCCCTGTTTTCTTCCTGTCTCGTTTCCAGTTTACATTCAAAGAAAACACATTTTCAAACATGACTTAATTTAACTCTTATAAACAAGGTTCAAATTTGGCTTTAATTTTCCTGATGCCCAGGATAAAAGAGGAGCAGAATCCACTATCCTTATTATCAGAAGGAAGGAAATAAAAAGTCATTGTTTGTGGGACTTCATAGAGCATTGAGAGGCATGGTGGCCAGCATGCTGACTCCTTTCCTTGGGTAAAATGCTCCATTAGATGCTTTTCTGTGACAGGGCTGGGCCTGTTGGGTCATGAACTAGGGTTCAAGATGAATTCTGTCATGTCCCCAGATGTAAAGGATAGGCTGGAGGTCAGGGAAGGAAACACACAGGACTGGGAGGGAGGAATAGCAGAAGGAGTGAGTCCACCTGTCCCTCCCATCACTTCATGTGTTGTTGCTAGGTACCGTTGAGTCGGATAGTCCTCCTTAGTGACCCTGTGAACAATATGCCCTATCCTGTGCCGTCCTTACCATCTCTGCCGTGCCCGAGCCCACTGTTACAGTCATACATTAATCCATATCGCTAGAGGTCTTCCTCTTTTTCCACATGATGGGCTGTTCTGAGGACTAGCCCTTCATGACAGCATGCCCAAAGTATGTGAGCTGAAGCTGCACTGTCTTTGTTTCACTTCCCCTAACACAGACCTGTTTGTTCTTTTAGCAGTCTATGAAGGAGTCAATACTCTTCGCCACTACTGCTATACAAAAGCATCAGTTATTCTGTCATCCTTATTCAGTGTGCAGCTTTCAGATGCATGGGAAGAAATTGAAAATGCCACGGCTTTGATCAGTCACACCTTAGTCTTTAAACTGACAACCTTGCATTTTGGAGAGGTCTTTGACAGCAGATTTTATCAATGCAACATGTCTTTTGACTTTTTGACTGCTGTTACCATGGACAATAAATAGGCTGAAATTCAAAGTGGATTTGGAAGAGGCCATGAACCTGTGTTGGCTGAGGGAACTAGGGATGTCATTGCTGTTGTCAGATCTTGGCTGAGAGCACAGAGAATACCATCACTTTATTAGGAAGTGTTATTCTTTAGGGACTATGCCTGGTTATGAGCTTTCACGTATTTTTGTAGTAATCACCAAAATAAACAGGTATTTATCCAGTGCTAAAGTAAATACATTATAAAAGAGTTATTGGATAAAATATTAAAGGTTCATAAATCTCTTCCAGAGATAGCTTTTTGCTATAAAATATTAATATTGGGACATTCTTTCTAATAGAACACTAGATTTAAGAAGTACTTATAAGACTTGACCTGAAACTTAATCATTTGTACAACAAATCTCACCAGTTTGTACAGAGCTTCATTTGTAATAATTCAGGAAATACAGGTTGCAGCCCTGTTTTACATGGTTCAAAATTGTTATGTGATCTCTCAGGAGATTTTGCTGCTTGCTTTACTGAGCTTCGACTTCAACTTGACTGGTAATCAGTACTGTAAAGGGAAGGAATTTCAAACAGTTTTATGTTCTTCTTCCCTGCCTTTGATACATATGATAGATGATTGGGAGTGGAGCACATTTGCTCAGAGGACCTTATGTAAAATGCTGGCCTTTGAATCCCAGAAATGTAATGTATTAATAGGTCTGAGGTTTGAAGAAAGGCTTTGCAGTATGAGATCAAGAGACAGCATTGTCCAGAACAATGAGATGAGAAGACAAAGAAAGACAGGGGAACTGGATGAATGGAAATGAGAAACACTGGGACGAAGCAGGAGGAGTGTTGACACATTGTGGGGCTTGGAGTCAATGTCAGGGAACAACCTATAAATGAACTATTGATTAGAAAAGTAATTTACTATGTAAACTTTCATCTACAGTACAATTAAGTATTCTTTAAAAATCTATGGAAAAATAAGATGGGAACAGGCATAGGTATTTGAAGGAATGTTCAGCAAAGTAATGATTGTGGACTTTGAATGTAATTGCTCTTTTGAAAACTTGTGGAGGAAGTGTTTGCATTTGGCCATATAAGAGTACCATAGTCTCCTCGTGGATGGTTTCACCTTCATTGTTTTGCTTTTCCTCAGTGACCCCGGGCCTGAGAATGGTAAATGAGTAGCCTGGTGACATCTCGTGCCATCCCCTTCCAGCCAGCTGAGGGTGTAAATCCTCCTTTGTCTAGTTTAACCACTGTGTATACTGCTGAACAAGCTACCCACCCACGATTGCTGTTCATCACTTCCTGTGCCTAATGTAGAAAGTAAATGTTTTCATAGGCATGTACGTGGTGGAACAGTGTGTGATGTTCTGGATTGCCAACTGAAAGGGTGGCCATTCAGACTCACCAGTCGTTTTATGGAAGGAGATGGGGAATCTCCTTCCTGACGGATTTCCAGCCTCAGACACTCACTGAAGGTTGTTATGAGGCAGTCGACTCACCAGCAGTGGGTTTGGTTTTATGTATCCAGAGGATAGAGCACCGTGCAGTCAGATTCACTACTGTCCACAGCTCCAGGCATCCCCTGGGGTCTGGGAACTTGTCTCTCACAGTTAAGGGGGGACCGCTGTGTAGCCCAAAGAGGATTTTATTTAAAATGAAGCATTTCAAGTTTGATCAGGATGAGAAACGACTAGTGTCCCCTGCTTGTCAGCAGCTCGCTTAATGCCATTTCACTTTCACGAGAGACCTACTTACTTCATAACCAAAAGCAGCTTCTATGAGAAAAGGTTGAAAGTGAAGCGAGTGCTCAGTGTTGGTTTTGCAGAGAGCTACTGAAATGACAGCCGGGCCTGTGGCAGGGGGAGCAGCATCACTGGGCCCCTTTCCTGGAGCTAGACTCAGCATCTCCTGTGTCTGGGAACATGTATGTTCATGTTACATTAGGTCTATGTGGTACGTGATACGGATGTTTTGGGATCTGGGAATGCTCAAAAATGTCTCCTGTATCAAATAATCGTAATTGTTTATTCACGTTAACCCATTTCAGTTTAAGAAATGTTTCAAAGGAAAGCTCTATTTTCTGATATCAAATCAAGCCTACATTAGTTGGAACTACTTGTGGGTTTTATTGTGTGCTTTGTTTCGGTTTAGTTTCTTGATCAAGGGAGTTCTTAGACATGTTACTGAGTACCATGCAGTCAAGTTAAGACCCATAGACCAGAAAACTATCAGTGAGTGGTGATGCTGAAGGATAGAAGAGCCTGCAGGTATATGGGGGTGTGCAGATGGGATGGGTTGTGTTGGCTGAGTTAAGAAATAGAGTTAAGGAATGAAGTGTTTTACAGGAGCCAAAAGGTTAGAACCGTCTAAATGTCTATAAACAGATGAACGTGGCACACACACAAAATGGAATATTATGCAGACATGAAGTTCTGGTACAGGCTACAAAGTAGATAAACCTTAGAAACAGCATAATGAGGGAAATATGGCCATCAACAAAAAGACAAATAGAGTAGAATCCTACTTGCCTGAAATAGGCAGATGTTTAGAGATCAAAGCTTCTATTAATGCTCAGCTCTGGAGGCTTAGTGGTGGGAATTACACTGTCAGTGCAGACACGTGGTTTCAGTGCACCAGCTACTCCACAATAGAAGAATGGGCAATCACTCCTGTGTGATTTACTGCCTCTGGAAACTCACTATAGGGTCAGCTGTGAGTGGGTTCCAGCTGGATGGTACACTACAGCAGCAACAGCGGAGGTGGTAGAGGAGGTTAAAGGAGCCCAAGCTTCTGTTAGTGGTGGTCCAGACACTTGTGAAAGGGCAGTCATGGGTGCTAGACGGTGGTGGTGGTGGGATTGCAAGGACTCCATGAGGATCACTGTCCCGCCCTCTAATCTTCCGTGGCTTAGACGACTTCTGCGTTTTCTGCCTCCAGACCCCTGCTCTTCCAGGCGAGCGAGCTTGTGGCTAGCAGTTCGGCCCTGGGCGACACTATTCCATTCAGCATCATCCTCCAGTTTCTGTTCTCAAGTGCACCACCGGAGCTAAAATCCCCCTTCCAGGTAACAAAGTGAAGCAACCGCTCGTTGTCTTTCTCTGTTAACTTCCTGCAGGCTGAGCCCTGTACTGAATGGGTTCTTGGCCTTCCCTGGCCTGATTCAGTCATGAATTTCTATTTTTGGCAATGGACAGAGATCGGAAAAGGAAAATTTCCACTGCCCATCCCCACTGTCACTTCATTGTAAAAAAAAAAGTAATTACCTATTGAATCCCTAATTCTCCTTTAAATAGCGAAGGCAAAGTCATTTATGTTTGTTAAGCAGTTTTGGTAGAGGCCCCATTTCTTTTGCTGACTGCCTGTCACTTGGGAAATCCCGAAGGCTACTCCCTGAACCTGTGGTGTCACTGGCATCCCCAAGGGGCTTTCATTCAAGAATTTATTTCATGAATGCTTATGTATTCTGTCTCCTCCCATTGCGTTCCTCCACCCAGAGAATAGAGTGGTCTCACGCACGCTTCTCCCAGTGGCTGGACGACCACCCATCTGAAAAGGACAGACTTCTCCTCATCAGGTAGGTGAGCATCTAGGGCTTCCATGTGCTTGAGGTCTGGGGAGGGGAGGGTTTAGGGTTGGGGTGATGAGCAGCGCACCTCCTCCCTGGCCCAGGGATTGGCCTGTGCTCTGGGGCTGTGGGCTCTGCAGACTTTTCTCCCCGTGCCCTCCGCTCCCGGATCCTGTCATCAGCACTGTGCTCTCCGGCACCAAATGCAGCCCCAAGGAAAACGCCACCTTCAGCTATGAAGAGACGCCTTGCTGGATTTACCTCTGTGGGTTTTGTTTTATGTCCTGTGTGACTTTAATGGAATTAGTGGAGCACAGAGCAGTAGTCACCACATGGGACACCGTTATTAGCAGGACACAGCTACACATGCCTTCAGATCGTGCCTCAGAGGCACATCTGTGTACACATCCCCACATATGCACAATACACACACACAGAGCACTACCCTAACCACATCCAGGGTAGAAGGCTTTAAATGTTACACGCAGGATATGAAGTATCGTTGCTCTTACCACAGACACAAGAGACCTTGTCACTGCAGCTTTCCATTGCCGCCATAGCCGTCATGAACTCGGTGACGGCTCCAAAGTTTTACTGGGTGCTCACTGTGTGCGAGACCTACACTCGGAACAGAGGATGCAGAGATCCCTGCCCTCCACGAGCTCCCGTGTCACCGGATTCCTGTTTCCATTATTTCCCCCATGTGTTTTATCACACATAAGAACACACACACACACACACACGTATATACAATACACATATATGTATACATACATATTTATAAAGGGGTTTGGTGGCCTAGCATGGTAAGAAGTTGTGCTACTAACTCAGTGGAGGGGAGTTCAAATCCATCAGCTGCTCCTTGGGGGGAAAAATGAGTAGCTGCCTTCCATGCGATTTACTCCCTCTAAACATCCCCTGGCGGGTCAGCCATGCGTCAGCTCTGACTTTACGGCATTGAGTGAGTGATAGGTTCAGAACCACACGTTTTTTCCCCCTTGTTACAAAATTATTTATGTCTTGTCCTTTATCAAATGCTCTTCTTAGTGACATTTTTCTCTGATCAAGCTGTGTGCTCTGCATCCACGTCGATGCTGCCTTTGCCGTCCCGGAAAAGAACAAGTGTCACTGGTCCTGGGCTTCTCCTCGCTCCCTGCCCTGCCCTGGGAGCACTGGTGACTGTACATTCACAGACAGCGCTTTCTGTTCTGACCTCTCTGGCCATTCCGCCTGCCCATCTTGTTTGCGGAATTGCTTCTGTCTGTTCCTTCAGTGTCATCATTCCCCACATCTTGTTCTTAATGCTTCCTCATCCGGCCTCTGTGAACACTCCCAGATCCGTGGCTCTCACGGAGGGCACACAGCCTCCAGCCAGCACACGTCCCACAGAAGCTTCAGGCCTCAAAGCTACCGAATAAGTCATCTTCCCTCCCATCTTCCTCACACCTCCTCATCTGCTTATCCTGTCTGTCTTTGTTGAGGTGTCACTGTCATCTGACAGGCTGAGCTTAAACACTTGAACCACGTTCAACTCCTCTTTCTCCAATTTCTACAAGTAGCTCATGAAATCATTAACCTGTCTCCCCGGGATCCTAATGCTGCTGACGTGGGAACCACAGCCCCAAAGCAACAGGTGATGAACTGGCTGTCCCAGAGCCAGGTTGGGGCTGATGTGGTCAGGTGGTTCTCCACGCTGTTTGCACACAGGAATCGTTCCAGAGCTTTGACGCCCAGGCCACACCCTCAGCTGACCCTCAGAATTGCCCGGACACCTGTGAGCAGGGTTTCCCACAGGGCCCTAGCAGCTCCACTGTGCAGCCAGAGTTGAGAGCTTCTGCCGTAGAGTGACGTATTTCAGTTGGCAGAGAAAGGACACAGCTGAGGCAACTCTTGGGGTCGTCAGCTTGCAGGAGTGGCTCTCAGAGCCTGGGTGAGCCCCTGCCCCTGCTGGTGCTGTGTGGACAGAGGCCAGTGCAGGCCCTTCTCGTCCTTGCTTGCTTTGTCTTGCACTTCTCTCAGCTGTTAGCACCTGACCAAAGAATCTCCCAGCACACGTCCCACCAGTTACTGTGACTGGTTTCAGCTGGCCCCACAGAAGGCTTTCTTTGTGGATGAGGGAGCCTGTAAAGTGGGGCAAGTAGGGTTTTTCAGAAGCTGGTACATTTTTCTCCCTTGGGTCTTGAAGATTTTCTGAGCAGTAACATATTTGGTAAGGGGAGAGGTACTTAGTAATCCAAAGAGTGACCAGGGTTCATTTCCATCATCTTAACAAGTTGGAATGAGTTCATCCACGATAGTTGTCCTGCTGTGGGCACAGCATCAATCTGTTTTCTTTTGCTTCTCTGAAAAATGTCTCCTGAGTGATTTCAACCAGCAGTGCTGTTGCTAAGACTATATTTAGCAGCTGAAAATCCTGCTCAGTAATGCTGTCACGCCTTTTAAATAAGGCCTCCCCATCACTCCACACATGGCTGCTGCCGGCGCCTTCGTGCCTTGAGCTCAAACGTGAACCCGGCACTCCAGGCTCCTGACAAGGGCGGGACCTTCGTCCTCCAGAACCTTCCTTCTCTGTTACTGCAAAACGAATTTTGTTCTTGCATACTGAAGTGTCACTGTATGAATTTCTTTCCCTTATAGATAAGCCCAGGGTAAGTATTGCTCTTTAAATGTCAGTAAATTTGTTTTGGCTTTGGGGGCAAACTTTTAAAAATACTCATTCTGTTCCTCCTAGCAAAATACTTAAGTTTGCCGTAGTGTAGGGCAGATCGAGGACAGTGTCGCTACTGCAGCTGAAAACAGAGTGGAGAACCACACCAGATGCTGTGCCAGAGCCTGAGTTTACTAGTCAGGTTGGTTGTAAAGTAGCTGTGTAATCCATGACTCATGGGCCAGGTGCTGCAGACATGTGTATGCCCTCAGGGAGGGGAGCTTGGGGCAGTACCTGGGTCTCTAAGTGATCAGTGTGCTTTCAACAAGGCAGAGAGTGAGAGATTTTGATGCACGGGTTTCTCAGGCTCTGGCCCAGTGATCTTAAGTGAACATTTAGGAATCCCTGAAGGCTGGCTCGCTTCTCTGTTCGGAGTGTGATTACTTTGAATGAGATGTGTGGGAGGGATGAGCTGACTCCTGTTTCAGAGGTAGCTCTCTGTCTGTATGTCTGTCTCTCTATTATACTTGAGTGTGAGCACTTCCTCCTTGGGAGTCATCTTGACTTTGCTTCTCCTTGTTCTATATGATGTCAAAATGATCACAGACTGTACCAGCCTGGGGGCACCTTTATTTATTCAACTATCTGGCAATGGTGGCCCGTCTGTGAGGCCTGAGACCCCTTGCCCTCCTGCTATAGGCCCAAACTATGGCTCAGAACCATTCCTTCAAGTCATTGTATTTCTACAAAACTACTAGATCCCTGTTAAAGAGAGTAATGCTGGCTCTCCCATTCTAGTACTTTCTGTGCCACTAGACACCTCTCAGCTCCTAGAGCTCTGGGCAGCTGATTCAGGGTCCAAAAGGGCAGGGGAGCCAGGGAAAGCTTGGGGGGCTTGTGAAGGCTCCAGTATATCCAAGCCATTTCTGCATTTCACTACTGAGCATGCCTGACATGAACCCACTTTCTTTTCCAGAAGAACTTCTCCACTCAGCAGTGTTGCCACGTTACCAAAACCTTTCCTTTGCTAATTGGTCCCTCCTCCACCCCAGTATGGATAACCTAAACAAATTGCTTATTTTGGTTACAAACCAAAAGCGTTGAGACTGGCTCTTACATAATTCTTGGCCTGACTTCCAAGAAAGCTAATGTTTTGCTTAAGCAAATGAAATAATTTCATAAAAGTGCTCGAATATCTTGCTCTGATTTTATGTGGGAGGGCAGTTTAAATCTGTTTTTCTCCCATAGTCCTGACGGTATTTTTGATGAATACAAAAACCCAAACCTAAGTGAATCCCGGAGGTTTCTTCTACTTATTTTGTAATTTAAAGGATGCTTTTTCATGCAAATAATAGTGTGAACTAGACCTTCCCCATGTATTAAAAATGGAGCTGATCCATTTACAAAAAAGTGTGTGTGAATTTCCACTCCCTTGTTTCTTAGATGGAGACATAAAGCGCTGTCACAAAGGCATTTGGGGCCTTTGGAGGTGTTGGTGCTGTGACGAGTCTTAGGGAGCTACACGTGGAGAATGCACAGGAGAGCAGAGCAACTGGAAGTGAATGACCAGAGGCAGTGAGTTTCCCGTAGAGAAATAGCTCCATTAAGGCCAAGCTGAGACATGAACGAAGGTTCATAAATGGTCTCTGAAAGAGTTCAATCCCACCGTGCAGGCCTGTGATGATTTTGAGGGTCCCTACACCCACACTGCTCCTTCCAGTTTCTTCTGATTTTTGTCTTGTCATTTCCTGTATTTTTAATTTTTATTTTTTTAATTATTATTTTATTTGTGTGTGTGTGTGTGTGTGTGTGTGTGTGTGTGTGTGTGTGTGTACCGTCAAATCAGATCTGACTGGTACAGGAGGAGATTGTTCCTCCTTTCCCGGCAGAGCATCTGGTGGATTTGAACTGTGCGCCTCTGGATTGCAGTGCAGCTTCTTGCCATTAGGCCACCAGAGCTCCCCTTATTTTTTTTATTTTTTAATATTCATTTACCATGCATTTGTCAAGCACCAGGTCCTGGGAATACATAAATGAACAGAACAGCCCAACCTTCAAAGATAAGTTGTTTCACAAAGAGGAGAAACGTGGAAGTGAACAGATGCTTACACTATGATGTGATAATGCTGTGTTAGAAGTATAAACTTCTCGCCGGCATTCATAGAAAATATGAGCCCCAGTTACCACATGGAGGTGGAGTGGTATTTGAGAGTCTGCTGTGTGCCTCAGAGGACCAGCTTCTCACACTGCCGTCTTTCACCCCCTCCATCTTGCAGAGGAGCTAGCTATTTGCTCAAAATACTCAAGGTCACATGGCTGGCACTGGGGCAAACCCCAAATATCTATATAGTTGTTGTTGTTGTTGTGTGCCATTAAGTCAACTATGACTTACAGGGACCTTATACGTAATAGATCAGACCCTGCCCTCTGCTGCCCTGTCCTCACAGTCCCCTTCATGCCCTTTACAGCCCACTGTTAACAGGCACTGTGTGAGTCCATCTTGTTGAGGGGTTTCCTTTCTCTGACCTTCCACCTCTCTCTAGATAGATACCTCTAAGATAGGAGTCTGCTCATCCCACTCAGACCTCTGATTAAAAGTAATCACACTCCGAACAGAGAATGGAGCTAGCCTCCAGGGATTCCAAAATGCTGAGACCCTACCAACGCAAAGATGTTGATCCAGAAGTTCTACACTTTTCCATGCATTGACATGACTCCAGGATGTTCCCATACTTTTATGTGTCTGGAGTTAGGAGAAGTGTTGGGGGAGAGAGTGCATTTGAGCTGGGTCCAAAAGGATAAAGAGCTGAACAAAAGAAAGCAAGGAAAGGCATTCCAAGGGCAAGATAATGTGAGAAAGTCTAAAGGAATGTGTCTCCAGGGCTCTGGTATTAAGGGTGGCCAAGGATAAGCAGACTCTTCTGGCCCCACCTTGTTGTAGGGACATCTATCTTTCAGAGTTCGCTGCACACAAACCCCTTAACTTCTCCCTGGGTAGACACTGGGGATGGGCCAAGAGTCAAAAAAGGGACAAAACGGCTTTGCACAGGACAAGGTAACAGAAACTACTAATAATCTGAAGCTTTGTTTAAACCAAATCAAACTGCTTAAAACTTAGCTGCTGCCTAGAAAAGGCTAGAGGGAAGGACAGTGATGAAGCTAGTGAGCTTAGACATTGTCCTCGAGGCAGCGTGGCATGGCAGGCCACATCCTTCAGGGGCTTCTGTCTCGACACAACATGGGAGATGGGGAAGCTTACATCAGGGCAAAAGGGGGTGGTGGTGGTGCAGCTACAGCAGCAATTAGGGATAACACGGCAGAGATCCAGACTGAAGCAGGCGAGGGGGGCTAGACGGGGAATACACAGGTGAGGACATGAAGCCTTGACACCTCTTTTGGTGTCGGAGTCAGGGAATGTTGTTAGGGGCCTTTGGAAAGATGGTGCCGTTTGTTGAAATGAGAAAGGCAGGCACAACACTGCCCTGAGTTTTTGATAGTGGAGTTAAGTAAATTAGAAACATCACCTAGAGAAGATCCAAAGATTGCTGGAATAAACATGATCAGCTATAAACAAGAATTCTGAAAGTCATTCGTGTCTGGTAGTAGAAGAATATAGAGTTCTAATGGCCACAGTGACATGTAAAATGATGGAACCTAACCTAGAGTTTCTATTTTTAAGTATTTGGGAACCAAACTATAAAGAAATAAGTACTCCAGGGGACTTGAGATTATGTAAGTTAAATACTTAATGATAATAATTTTAATTTGTATAGCAGGAAGATAAAGCAAACAACTATAACAGAATATGTGAAGACCTACAATTGGAGAATAAAAAAGGAATACCTCACTCAGCATTCTTCAAGCATAATGCACTGAAAAACAAACTCTAACCTTGAGTTGCAATACTTAGGGATGCTATGGGGAAAATCTTGGAAGATTGAGGAAACAAAATGAGTGGAAGGAATACACAGTCACTGTTATCAAAAAGAATTGGACACTAAAATACTTCAGGATTAGGAGCCAACAGTAAGGAAGAAATTCACGCTGAACCGAAGGCATTGACCAAAAAATAAGGCCCTAGGAATTGATGGATATCAATTGAAATGTTTCAAATGACAGATGCAGCCCTGGATATGCTTGCTTACCAGTCTATGCCAGGAAATTGGGAGGACCACTGCCTGGCCCACTGACTAAGAGACCCATGTTTGCTCTTACTCCCAAGAAAGGTGATTCAACAGAATGTTGAAATTATCTAAGTATAATTAATACCGCAAAACAAGCAGAATACTGCTAGCGATCATTCAAAAATGGTTAGGTACTTAGAGAACTGCCAGACATTCAAGCTGTATTTAGGAGAAGGTGTGGCACCAGGGGTATATTGCTAACATCAGATGGATCCAGGCTGAAAGCAAAGAATACCGGAAGAATGTCTGCGTTTTATTGACTATGCAGAGGTATCTGAATGCCTGGATCATGACGACTTTTGGCTAACATTGAGAAGAATGGGAATTTCAAAACACTTGATTGTGCTTGTGCAAAACTGATACCTACACTGAGAGGCTGTTGTGTGAACACAGCAAGAGAACACTGAATGATTTAAAATTAGGAAAGGAGTGCGTCAGGGTTGTATCCTTTCTCTATACCCATTTTATCTGTATACCAAGAATATTGTTCAAGAAGCTGGACTCTGTGAAGAATGTGGCATCAGGATTGGAGGAAGACTTATCAATAACCTTTGTTATGGAGATTATACAACCCTGCTGAAAATGATGAGCACTTTCCATAAAAGATCAAGGAATACAGCCTTCAAGATGGATTACATCTTAACATCAAGGAAACGAAAGTACTAGCCAACATCATGATTAGACGGAGAAAATACTGTCAACCATTTCACCTCACTTGGATCCACAATCAGTAACACTTGACACTAGCAGTCAGATCAGAAGATGTATTTACTGGGAAAGTCTGTAGTCAGGGGCCTGTCCAAATTATTGAGCAGTGATGTCAACTTGAATGAGGTGTGCCTGATTTGGGCCATGTTCTTTTCAGTCACTGCTGTGCATCTGAGTGTTGGACAGTGACTAAGGATAACAGATGAATTTATGTTTGAACTGTAGTGTTGGAGAAATGTTAAGTATCTCATGGACTGCCAAAAGAACAAACAGCTATGGGGAAGGTGCAGTCAGAGTGCTCCTTGGAGGCAAAGATAATGACGTATGCTCAACATATTTTGAGCATATTGCTAGGAGGTTATTCGTTGTAGAGGGACATACTTGGGAAGGTGGAGGAATGGCAAAGGATAGGAAGACCCTCAACGATGCAAACTGACAGTGACTGCAGCAGTAGACTTGAGTGTCAGAGACTGGGAGGATGGCACAGGATAGGACAGAGTTCACATCAGTTGTTCATAAGGTCACTATGAGCCATACTTAACTCGACAGCACGTAACAAGTGTGTTATTGTGATGAGCTGTGGAGTCACCTGTGACTCATAGCGACCCTCTGTACAGTAGCTCTGAACCCTGCCCTCTCCTGAGCCAGTCTAACTAATGCTGACACACCAACCCCCACTGCCCTAGTTACCTTATCAATCCATCTCATCCGGGGTCTCCCTTTCCTGTGCTGTCCGTCTACCCTTCCAAGCATGATGTCGTTCTCCAAGGACTGGGCCCTTCTGACCACATGCCCAGAGTATGTGAGATGGAGCTTCAAAAACCTAACCTCCAAGGAGAAACCTGGTTTCACCCTCTCCATGACAGACCAATGGGTACAACTGTATAGCAATCCTCAAATCTCTAGGATGTGAAATTTTTAGTAATTATGGCAAAAATATTTTGTTGGTTTCTCTGAAATTAAAAAATTGGGTTTACAATGATTCTTTTTAGTGCCACTTAAACATGAGCTAATATTTAAGCAGAAGATCTAGCTCAGAGATTGGCAGTCTTCTGTAGAGCAAGGCAGTAATTGAAGGCTTTGCAGGCTGTATGGTCTCTGCCTTGACTGAGCAACTCCACCACTGCAGTGTGGAAGGAATCATACTAAACAGGCGCAGCTGTGTCCCAATAGAGGTGAAGGACTGGGTGTGGCGTGGGGTCGTAATCCATAAGGACATCATGAACAGCTGACAGCATACTCCTGACTCAAATCAGATTGCTTTCTCAGCACATAACAAAAAATGGAGCTCCATTAGTGTATCCTAGTTGAGAGCTGTTCATTTTCCTTCAATAGAATGAAGCTGTTACTGCTTTGTGAATCCATGCCCCCCCCTCGCCCATGGTGCAGGGCGCCCCCTGGTGGGTTCTGTATATAGCTACAAGCTACAGTATGCCTTCAAAAGTAAGGGAAAGGCTAACTGATGAGACCATGTCAGGTAGCACAATTTTTATTTTTTTTAAAACATTGCCATCCATTGATTCCAACCTATAGTAACAATGTAGGACAAAGCATAACGGACAGGGTTTTCCAGGCTGCAGTCTTCATGAACGCAGACTCCTGCGACCTTTCCGTAGGGGGCAGCGGCCATCACCCATCAGTTAGTAACCAGGACCTTCACTCTGACACCGATCCCCAGGGCTCCTCTCCTCCATACTGAAGTGGTCTGTTCTGCATATCAGCCACACATTACCACTAAGACATGTGGAACCAAACGTGGCTGTTCCAGAAGTGGGGTTTTGATTTGTGTATATTGGCACTTTTGAGGAACACCCTCAACAGGACAGACTGACAGTGCCTGTTCTTGGTGGGCTCCAGCATGTTGGGGATTGGGAAGCTGGCAGCACAGGGCGGGGTTCACAGGGTTACTATCAGTTGTAATCAGCTTGACAACACTTGACAGATGGGAAGTGGCTTTAAAGTGCTCTGGTGGCACAGTGTCATGTTGCATCACTGACTGCATCAGCAGTTTGAATCCACCAGCCAGTCCACGGAAGAAAGGAGCAGCCTCCTACTGTGAAGACTTAACAGCCTCAGAAATTGGCTAGGTGGCGGCTAACAGTTGGACTTGACTCTGGCTGGGGGTTGGATATCTGGAAGTGGTGTTAAGGAGCCCTGGTGGTGTCATGTGTGGGGCTCCTAACCAAAGGTTCCACCACCAGCCACTTGACCAGAGAGGAGACAACCTCCCCTGCGGAGTCACTGCCTTGAAGTCTGAGGGAGGTGGCTAATGATAGGGCTGAACTTGAGAGGAATAGGTGAAAGCAGGGTGTTTGGGGCTCCCCACCATTTATTTGACATTGTTTTCCTTTTTTGTTTTCAGGGCATCTCTGGAAGCTTATGTTCAATCAGTAAGAAATAGAGGTGGCAAAGAGTTTGCAACTGTTTACCCAATAATGGTTCAACTGCTGCAGAGAGCTCTGTCTGCTCATCAGTAACAATGTAAACTATTCCATTTCTGCTAACCCACTCAGAGTTGACAGAAGAAACAAAGCAACTATATTCTAAAAGATGGCTACTCTCCACTGATTTAAGAATCTTGATTTTTCTGTACTTCTACTGATCTTTTTGTTTACCTTCACACTTACCTTGAATGTCAAAATAGATTTATCAGCACAACCTTCATAGACTACGGACCAGACTTTGCCAAAAAGACATCCAATTCTGTCCTCCCACAGCTAGGGAGCATATCTTTTCCATCACATAACCTTGTCTTCCTATGGGTATGTGTACACACACACGCCTCTTACTGCTTCTAAAGGGATCTGATTAAGTGACATAGTAAATTGCTTGCATCCCTGGCCTACCTTTTACTAGTAAGTGTATTGCTCAAAAGCTTTCAAATTTGGCTGCATACTACAATCACTGGGGGAACTTAAAAAAACCCTGGTGCTCTTGGTGCACCCATACAAAAATAATCAGACCTGATGGAGGGAGCTGGGCACCCCCAAAAGATTCCAGTATTTAACAGGCTAGGAATGATTCATGTTTAAACAAACTGTGTCTTTAAATAAAGAGAAATTTTCCTTATACTTTGTCGTTTTATGAAAATCTGACTTTTGGAGCCTTTCTGGATTACTCCAACAAATGTGTATGTGCTATAAATCCTAGTTTAACACTGACAGAATCCCATGACAATCAGTTGTCTGTTGTGAGGCAGGATTGGCATACAGTTGGTTTTAAATCCATGCCTTTTTGAGATAAAAATAAGCAAAAGCAGCAGAATATGGGGAACACCAAGCCTTATAAGACTGCCCAGAAATAGAACCTCACAGCAGGAAAGCCTTTTCTTCCCAGCGGACAGAAGGCCTGCTTCTACAGCGTGCACTTGGAAGTTGGACTTCCAGCCCCTAAACTGTGAGAAAGCAAACTCAAGTCATCCACTCATGGCTTCTGTTATTGCAGCACTATATAACACAGATGGGCATGTAATCCTGTAGTAAGTATATCAAGTTAAAAATATAAACTGTTTATTCTACAAAGCTACTTTGGATAATCTAGGTCCCTAATTTTTGTATTGTATTTGCCTTGTTATTAAAACACTTTTTAAAAAGTCCCATCATCAACTTCCTAATTACAAAACCTAAAAGTTTTTTGAGTGTTCGAAATTCACCTTGTATTTTAACCCCCTGAAACCTGGTTATTCTGACACCTGATACAGGCCACTTGAGTCAAATTTAACCAGCAGAACTCCTTTTTTTCCCCATTTTATTTGAAATAATATACAAGAATATAGTGTGCAAAATTTAGGGGCAACATTATGAAGTGTAATGAACTGAAATCAATTTTACAGCTGTGATCCTTAACAAGAAACATCACTTGGTAAGTAACATGAAAAGCCATGATTGTAGCTCAGAGCAAAAGCAGCTGTATTGCCAATATATTTGCTCTAAATTTAGACAGTTGGAGAAAAAAGTAAAGTGCAAGTGTTGCACTGCCGTAAGTGCAAAGTCTGCCCCCACCATAGAGATACGATGACGAGTAAGATACTTAAAATACATGGCTGAAGAGATATAGAACACAAAGTTAAAAAATACAATGGTGTCGACTGTTAATAGCACCATTACAGTGACTATATCCCAATGCTATTAACTACCTTCTCCTGACCTGGGCTAGGTCTTCACTGGGAATGGATGGATGGGTGCTGCCACCTGGTGCACAAATGCGACATCCTGTGGTAACTGCAGCAGGTGGCGCTGGGCCACTGACACCATCCACCTGCAGCACGTTCTGGCAGCCTCTTGGCACTGGCCAGACTAGGAGCTCCCATGTTTGGCACAGTTGCTGGGCCATGTGGTGGCTGCTCAAGGAAAGGCCGACTCCCAGCTTCTGCTTCCTTCCGTCATGTGTACAATACAGATTAATAAGCAGTACGGAGTCAATGGAGAAACAGCAGTTACATATTTTTAAATTCTTTTGTACAATTTAAAATAAAACATGTATACACTTCTCCTCTTTCTACTATACTTTAGCACCACAGGATATCAATTTTCAAGCCTATATTACCTGATAGACATATATGAAGTTTGGAAGAAAAATAAGGCAATTTGGTTTACAATGTTGATAGTTTTAGCTTACTTAATGCTCTAATGGAGAAAGCAAATCCTCACTCTTATTCAATCATTTCAAGATTCAATGCTATCAGTATTTTATGGTCACACGAATTCAGGACAAATGGTGAGACCTTGATCTTCTTAAGTCTTTCCATCAAGAGTCAAGGTTTATGCAAATATAGACTTAAGAACATTAGCATCCTGGTTTAATGTTGTTGTGAGCCCTGTGGAAATAAAATTAAACTTAGTGAATGGTTACAAATCAATACATAGGAATTCTACATATGAAAGCTAAACTGTGTGTAAGACAATATTTATAAATTTACTACCACAAAGTATTTTTTCAGGGTGGTGATTAACACTCTTGTACTGTTGGTTTCAGCATTCAATTTATGAAAATGATGACAACAGAGATGTACTAGGATGGCCAGAAAAAGGGATACAGATAAGCCCTATGATCCTGTATCCCCAGAAAAAAGGATAAAGGCAAGAAATAAAGCTAATGAAGAACTTAGAATTCCCAATTCCCTCTTATGAAATCTGACTACTGATATTTATTCTTATTTAAAAAGATGTGACCAATATGTCACTGTGAATGAATTAAAACATTCTTGGCCAGTTTTCCTGCTACCAAATACTGATGTCCGTCCTACATTTTTAAATGATGCATTAAGTTGCAGCAACTCTTGTCTTTCCTGTGAAATTTTCTTATTAATCTGAAAGTAAGATCCTGGATTCATATAGAAAAACTGAAGACTCAACTCTACCTGAGAAAACATTTTGGAGCAAACTTATCACCATTCTTGGGTCTTAAACGTCCTCCCTTTCCTGAAGTTTTCCCCCAGAAATTCTGTGCAAGTGGGAAAGCCCATGAAGGTTATCTACTTTACCCTTGTATCTCGAACCTTGCTTCAATTCTCACCAATTAAAAGGAAGGCTGCTCAGACATATCACCAATAATTACAGAAGTTTTCTATTGGGTTCTTGATGGACTACTAATGTTCAACTTTCAACCCAACTAGAAATACTACATTCCAAAGTTACTTTTCTACTTCAATATTTAGGTCAGACAACCTTGCCTGAGATTTCTTTGCATGTTCTGAGAATAAGTGCCATTTAATCATGAAGAGAAAGGGAGACCTCCTTTTACACAAAGATATAAAAACATTATTAGATTTTAAAGTATAAAAATGCTGAGAAACAGCATCAGGATGACCTTTTAAAGGTTTTAACAACTTCCAAAATGCTAGCACAGCTTTGGAACTAAAGCGAGGTGATTTTAGGAAGTTACTTGGTGAAACGTACTGAGTTGGTTCTTTTCCTTTTCCAACAGTCAGGATTTAAACGTTTTTGTTCTTCAGCCAGAGCTTTTGCTTCTAATGTGTACATCCTCCTTTCTTCGTTCTTCATTTTCTTCCACCTGTCACCAAGGATCACACTTATGGCTCTGTAAAAGAAATATTTACACCATGCTGAAGGCAAGTTTTCATAAAATGCCTCTCAAGTGCTGTTATTCCGTAAAGTTTACATATATGTGTGTATGTATATGTCTGTTTTGTTCAACACAGGGAAAGGAAAATGTCAAGGCACAGTGGAATAGTGTGATAATTTCCAATTGTCCAAGAACATCTCAAATAGCTAGAGTACATATGGAAATGGATGTTCTCGACCTAAAAAAATACAGAATTTCAAAGAAAAACGTCTGTAACACAACTGAGTATACCCTAGCGCATCCATTTTAAGAGGATGCTAGAAGACCCAAAGGCAGACAGATCTGCAGCATATTTACATGGTGCTAACAGTACTCTGCTCGTGCCTAAATCCCCCATATGACAAAAGGTCTTTTTTTCATTCATGCAAACACACTGAAGCCTGTAGTAGTTTTAACCATGCAATTCTTATTCTCTCTCACAATAACCCTAAGCAATATTTATCATTTAAATCTGCATAGAAACCTTAAGCATAATTATAATTTAGGAAAACTGGATCATTAAGTTCTTCTAATATAGCACTCTATTTTATCTTCTCTTTCCCATGGCAAGTAAACATCTACAGATTATCTCCTAGTTTGACCATTAGTTAACCTGGTCTGAAGTACGTTCTTCCCTGGTCTGTTCATGTTGAAAGCATGTTTGTGAAGTGCAGATCCCCATGTCTATCTCGGTCTGGAAGCTCCACTTTAACATGATTAGCACTACAGCAACACACGGCTATACAGACAGCATGTGTGCCAAGGTGCGCTGGCCAAGAAGTAAGCCTGGGGCCTGGGTTCCATGAGAAGGGAGGAGTTCTACCACTGAACCCCTGCCATTGCCCCTTCAAGATGGTAATGGTTAAATAGTGCTAACAGAACACTTTAAATACCTGCAAAAATACAAATTAATAGGCTGGTTCAGTTACCCATTTACTGATAATTTTCCTCTCATCAATAACACAGGCTTAAGAACCTTTAACTTGTTTTTATTTTCTAGCTTTTCATGGTCACACTGATAAAATGGAGGGAGGAGGAAGGATCCTTTCAACAACTATTCCTGTATTTCTAAAATATCATAGAAAGAGTATCTCTCATAATTAAGTTTACATTTTTAAATAGACTTTAAAGTTATCAAAAGGCCTGGATAATGCTAATTTTTCCCATGTGTCTAAATCGCTTTGAGCGACTCGACAGCACATAACAACAAACTAAGCTAAAACCTAACTCAGAAAGCTGGAGTTGTCAGAAGTGTGCTTTCTTAACAGACTAATAATGATATTTAATAATTTTTAAGAGGAAGACACAAGAAATAATTTCCCTTAAACATATCCTGTTAAAAGTCAATCTAAGAAAATTATTACATCTTAAAGATATTAAGAATAGGTTCCTCTAATTCAATAAATGTCTGCAG